GACTCAAGACCACAAAGGAGTCCTATGAGGCCTGACTTCAGTAAGAGAACTCATAGGTCGGTATCCAGGAGATTGCACACCCTGAAAAGTCCACCTACTAGTGGTTTGGAACACTTAAATTGCTTAGCAACGTCCAAATCAGAACCAACCAAAATAAATGTCTGGTTAAGTGGTCATCTGGTTCTCAAGGAGATCGATACCAGCACAGCTGTATCAGTGATTGCAGAATCAGTCTTTAACAAGATTCGCTCAGGACTCCAATCCTTAAGATTACTCAAGACCTCGGCCAGACTGAGAACATATTCCAGGGAACTGTTATAGATTAAGGGCATGACTTCGGCTCTATGAGAAGTAGTTGGTACAGTGATCACTGATTGCAGTAAAAGGCTCAGACCCAAGCTTGATGGGGCAGAATTGGTTGAGAAAGATTCAACTTGATTGGCTCAACATTTTTCGATTAGAAAATGGCTTTCTGAGTGGAGTCCTAATTAAATACCGGGATGTTTTTCAGGAAGATCTAGGGACTATCAAAGGAGCCAACACCACCTTAGATGTCGACCAGGAAGCAATTCTATCATTCTACAAGGCCTGCCCAGTGCATTTGGCTTTCATGCGAAGGTAAAGGCAAAAATCAGGGAGGCTGGGAAGCGAAGGTATCATCAAACCAGTGCAATTTGTGGAACGGGCAACATCTGTCGTACCGATTGGGAACCCTGACTGGTCAGTTTGCCTTTGTGGGGATTTTAAGCAAACGGTAAACTATTTCTCGCAGCTGGATAAATATCCAATCCCTTGCATAGAGCACTTGTGCGCAAAATGGACAGAGGGGCTGTCCTTCACAAAGCTGGACACGAGTCATGCATACCTGTAATTGCGACAGGATGAGGAGTCCATGAGGTATGCCACAGTTAATACCCATAAGAGTGTGTACTAATATACTACTCCACCTCTTCCCACCCACCTTCCTGCAAAAATGCCATCCCTATTCCCAATTCCTTCACCTCCGCTGCATCTGCCCCCAGGATGAGGCATTCCACTCCCGTACATCTCAGATGTCCTCGTTTTTCAAGGACCGCAACTTCCCCTCCTCAGTGGTCAAGAACACCCTCGACCATATCTCCTGTATTTCCCACAACTCATCCTTCACATCCCCTCCCTGCAATAACAACCAAAACAGAATCCCCCTCGTCCTCACGTACCACCCACCAACCTCCGGATCCAACGCATCATCCTCCGACACTTCAGCCATCTGTAATCCAACCCCACCACCAAAGACATTTTTCCCTGCCCACCCTTATCTGCTTTCCGGAGGGACCACTCTCTCCGTGACTCCCTTGTCCGCTCCACACTCCCCTCCAACCCCACCACATTTCCCTGCTGCCGCAGGAAGTGCTACACCTGCCCATACACCTCCTCCCTCAACCCCATCGCAGGCCCCAAGAAGACTTTCCACATCAAGCAGATGTTCACCTGCACATCTGCTAATGTGGTATACTGCATCCGTTGTTCCCGTTGTGGTGTCCTCTACATCGGGGAAACCAAGCGGAGGTTTAGGGACTGCTTTGCAGAACACCTACGCTTGGTTCGCACTAAATAACTGCACCTCCCAGTTGCGAACCATTTCAACTCCTCCTCCCATTCTTCAGACGACATGTCCATCCTGGGCCTCCTGCAGTGCCACAACGATGCCACCCAAAGATTGCAGGAACAGCAACTCATATTCCGCTTGGGAACCCTGTAGCCCAATGGTATCAATGAGGAGTTCACAAGCTTCAAAGTTCTGTTCCGGCCTACCGCGTCCCAAAACCAGCCCAGCTCATCCCCGCATCCCTAACCTGTCCTTCCTCCCACCTATCCCCTCCTCCCACCTCAAGCCCCACCCCCATCTCCTACCTACTAACCTCATCCCGCCCCCTTGACCGGTCCATTCTCCCTGGACTGACCTATCTCCACCCAAACTCCCCACCTACACTCACCTTTACTGGCTCCATCCCCGCCTCTTTGACCTGTCTGTCTCCTCTCCACCCATCTTCTCCTCTATCCATCTTCTCTCCGCCTCCCCCTCTCTCCCTGTTTATTTCAGAACCCCCTTCCCCACCCCCATTTCTGAAGAAGGGTCAAGGCCCGAAATGTCAGCTTTCCTGCTCCTCTGATGCTGCTTGGCCTGCTGTGTTCATCCAGCTCTACACCTTGTTATCTCAGATTCTCCAGCATCTGCAGTTCCTACTATCTCTCATACTACACTACCATTTGGGTTTCTGCAGCAGAGGCCCTTTTCCAGCAAACGATGAAGAACATTTTACAGCAAAGAAATAAATGTTGAAAGAGGAGTAATATTTCTCTGGAATTGAGTATCTGTGAAAGGATAGTGTTAGGAAAAAGGTTGAAACTTTATTTTGCTCTTTGTATTAATATCCTTCTATACTTTAATATATAGTTTTTTTGTTTGGTGTAATAAATATATGGTCTATTGTTAAAGACTATCAGCAGTGTAATGTCAATGTTTCAGTGACGAACCACATTAACCAAATGCAAAAAAAAACTGATCTATCAAGCCAGTTTTAATTCAGTAATGATCATAACACCAAGCTGTATCTGAAATCTTTCATCCCTGTAAATCCACACTGCCCCCCTCACTTTCTACCCGACATTTTGGTGATGCAGAACTGGATGTATTTATTCACTTTTGACTTAACCAGTAGTTTATACAGGTTCAGCAGAGCTTCCCAGCATTTTTACTCAATATCTCGATTTATGATGCCAAGTTCTTATATGTTTGCTACCACAATGCCACCTCAAAAAGAAACTAGATACGAATCTCCAAATCCCTCTGTCGAAAGAGTGTATAGGTCAATTAATATGCAAGATTTTACCTGGAGAAAAAGACCACAGCAACTGTGTATCTGCTACATTTCAACCAATGGTAAAAGTTCAGTGAATGCAGACTGCTTTGGTGAGTCATAAGCCAGTTATGAATCTATTGACATCTTGGTTTCTTTGCACAACTGATTTATTTCTTCTTTAATGGAATGGAGTTATGGCTGGGTGCCAGTATTTATTATCCATCCCTATTTGCCCTGGAGGTGCTGGTAATGAGCTGCCTTCTTCAACCAAAGTACTCAGATGTAGTAATACCTATAATGCTGATTGGGAGGGAGTTCAAAGACCATGAATCAGTGACACTGAAGGAACAGTGATATATTTCAAAGTCAGAATGGTAGTGGTTTGGAGGGGAACTTACAGGGGACGGCCTTCCCATCTATTTTCTGCCCTTGTCCTTCTAAGAAAGTAATAATAGTGGGTTTGGAAAGTACTGTCAGAGGAGCCTCTGAGTTACTGCAGCGCATCTGGTAGAGTAGACTGGGGAACTGAGATAAGCTTTGAATGAGGCCCCTTGTGTCCTTGCACAAGCTTTCTGACATCCAGTGAGCAACAATCACAAGTGCCATTTCCCTTTAGATTGCTCAGCCAATGGCTATGTTGACATAGCATAGCTGATCAACCAGGGAGGCATCATATTTGAGTCACCATTCTACAAATTTGATTAGGAACAAGAACACCTAAATCTTTCCTTACCATCACCCCAGGCTGATTGCAGCTTATGCACCAGTGGATATGGCCAATGATGTAACATAGCCACTGATCCTTATAGCTCTCAACAACGCTCATATTACATGGCTCTTGAGCAGCATTCCAGCACATGGCGGCCCTGGCCCAGCTACTCAAGTGCCTGCCTCTGGTATTCCCTCATCCTCTCTTCCCTCCTTGATTGAAACATAGAAGATTGAGGGATCTTGATAGTGTAGATGTGGGAGAATCTAGACCTAGGAAAGTCACTATTTTAAGATCAGTGACTTCACATTTTTAAAAACAGAAAGCTCTTCCTGTCTTTGGACAATTTTAAAGTTGACAAACAGGAAGAGGAGTAGGCTATTCTGCCTTTCTGAGCCTGGTCTGATCAACACCATATTCGTGTTTTCTCCCTTATAGCCCTCAATGCCTTTAAAATCTAAAACTTTGAGAGTATTCAGCTTCCTGTGGTATAAAGCTTCACAGGCTCACTCACTGAAACATATGTGAAGAAATGCTTTCCCTTCTCACTCCTTATTGTGTTGTCCTGGACCCCAAGTGTGCCCCTGGTTCTGGATTCTCCATCCAGGGAGAAAAACATCCTCCTTTCAGCCAGTCTGTCAGCCTTGTTAGAATTGTGTTTTCAACCTGATTTCCCCTCATCCTTCTAAATGAAGAAGGAATATCTCATGATAAACAAGGGAGTGAATGATGATTTAGGGTAGTTAGGAATGTGGATCAGACAAGCCTTGATCTTACTGATGACAGAGCAGGCTACAGGAATCTCTTTCTGCAAAATTAACGTTTGCAACTCCTACACAGACAATAATCCTATTTCTTGGCCAAACTTTTGATTATCTGACCAATATACTCCTGCAACTCAAATGTTTTTCCCCCTGTAACTGAGAAGTGGCTTGGGGCATTTATGTTAAAAGGCACAATATAAACAAGTCATTGGAGAGCCAAGAAGACATTCTTTCCAGCCATGTAATTTTAACACCAGGCAATACATAAAACAACCAATTGCTGAAATGTAGAAGCTGCATTTCATTTTTCCCCTAGTGAACAGGAAGTCTGTCCAATCTGGAGACAACATCTTTCTGGATTGAATTATTAACTACTCCAAAATCAATCAACATGCTGCTGAAAGCTGTTCCTGGCTACATTGCTCTCCAGTCCAATAGGACACCAGGTCCAAACCATAGCCTGCACCAAACATCAGATCTTGAAGGAGGTGTTGAGCAATTTTGTTGAATGTTGGTGCAATACTGCAGGACTCATGAAGTGCTGGATTGGACCTGGAGTCACATAGGCACAGACTTAAAAAACCAGGTTTCTTTCCCAAAAGGGCACTCCAACTGGTAGGGAGCAACAGAGCCAAGAGTAGGGGAGGGGAAGTGCGCACCAAGAGAGGCAGACAATGAACCTGGGACAGTGCGATATATCTTTATTACATCCTTACAGCTACATTGTACAGTATGTGATAAAAATTCTCAAATCATTGCCCAGTTTTTAAGCCAACATTATGTTGGAAGCTCACAGTGGAGCTCTGTGACCCCAGGGCAGTGAGGGATCCAGGATCTTGGGGGAAGGGGTGGAAGGAAGGAATGAGGGAGGGGTAAAAAGTCAGGGAGTATCAAGACCTTTGGGAGAGTCAGCTTTAGCACGTAGAAGGCACCAATGGGAACTGCTCTGGTCAACAAGACAAGAACACCACAAATGAAAAATGAATACAGCATTTGGACAAAAATGTAAACCTTATTTTCAGGAACAACTGTAAAGAATACTTCAAAAGCACATATAATTTTCACAATAGACAAAATATCTTAAGTGCTTTAAGCAATAAGATGTTCAGACTGTGCTCTGCCTGCAGACAATCTGTCTGAAGCATCATTCTGTAACTGCCATAGCTAAAACTTTGGTTAAAAATATCGACCCTTCCCACTTGTATATAATAATACAACTCTGCTGTGCTTTGCACAGGAAAAATATATATATTCATACATTTCTTTATATTAGAGCAGACAGGCATCTTTTAAAAGCTAAACACTCCAATGTCTGTTAACTGGAATAATCGCAAGCACTTCTTTTCACAAGCTTAAGAAACCCGTTAGAGTTTTATCTGATGACACCTGTTGTAAAGTTTGCCACATGGAGACTGAATGAAAACTTAACTCAAAGAAATTCCACCACCTCAACAAAGTCAATTTTCCTCAAATGTGTGCAAGTTTGTGAGCAATCAGCGAGCTTGGCAGAGATCTGATTGCGTCTCTGCAGGCTGACGGTACTGGGCCTTGGTGTTGGTGATGGCTCCATGCTTCTGTCGCAGGTGAAGTCGTAACTGGCTCTTATGGCGAAAGTGCAGATTACATTTCTCACACTAGAGACAGAAAAACAATTGAGATCAAAAAAGAAAGATTCTAGAAGTTCATACATAGCAGTCATTGATTACTGATCTGAAAAAGGGTTTGAGTTTCAGTGTGGGCACAGGGAACACTAGCTACGTGGAAGATAGTGGGTATGAATCCCAGATCAGAGATCCAAGCTCACAAGCCAAGCTGGTAATTTAGTTTAACATTAGGGGCCATGCTGAGGGAGCAGAGTTCTGCCACAGGGGCAGTGTTTCCAATGAAATGTTAAACTACATTCCTTTTCCCAGGATGTAGATGTGATGTCACCTTCCCAAGTGCTGACAATCATTTCTCTCTCCCCAATGACTCCTCCAAACAGACAATAGGACAATTGATCACTTCCCTTAACTGTTCACTTTTTCCTATGATGATGATACCATTTGATTGTTCAGCTGTTTCACCCTTGCTATTCCTCAAATTCAACGACAGTTTAACTGAGAAGCACTGGGGAGTTTCAGGAGCATGGAGTGTGTCAACTTTCAATTGTCATGTGACATCTTGTCACTCAGACAGAACTGCAGCAGCAAGCTCCCATCTGATCACCCAGTCACGTGCAAGAGAGCCATCCCACAAAACACTTCTGCTGTGATCTTAAATTCCCTTGCTATGTCACTACAGAAAACCACTCCCATTCCCACCGATAACATCCTGAGGGAAACTAACCTGGGGTTGAAGGTGTCTGTCGTTCTTGTGCTCTGCTCAATAAAAAGCCACATGCTTTCAAGATTAGAGCGAGAGTCAGTGATTCCGTGGATTCATTGCCCATCCTTCATTTCCCCACGTGATGAGGGAGATGTTGCTTCAAATGCATGACAGTTTGTCCACCCAAGGTAGTGCCAAGTTTGGATCCAAGAATCAATATAAAGACTCCATCCAGTGGCAGGACTGTCTGCATTTTAATTGCTGCTTTGTGGAGAGTCCCCAGATTTGGAGTTGGGTTTTATCACTTGCTCTAGTGGGATTTGAGCTTAGGGCTTGAGTTACTATCCTTTGACTAATAGCCAATATTGCCACCCAACACTGCCCCAGCATCCTCACTATTTACTTACATGGTAAGGCTTCTCTCCTGTGTGGATCCGAAGGTGACTTTTGAGTGTCTGCAGATGGCGAAAGCGAGTCCCACAGATTTCACATGGATATGGTTTCTCTCCAGTGTGAATCAGTACATGAGCTCGGAGATGCGCTACCTTTGGAAAGAAGTTTGGAATGAGTACAGCCATCCCTGTAAACTTATATCACAATGGCTGTCCAGGAATCAGATTCACTAACTTACTCTCCTTAACCTAAACTCCAACAGTCTCTCCAGTCTCCCCACATTTAAAGTTCCTCAATCCTATGAGCAAATCCAAAATTACAGGTTTTCCAAAACACCAACTTCCATTACGGAGTAGATCAGGAATCTAACTGCTGGGCCTGTCCCGTGTTATCAGCCTCTGAACCAGCCAACACATCAAATTCTCTGCTTCCTTGAAACACTAAACTTGAACCTTTACTTCACAAATTGTGAAAACTCTGGACACTGCACCAGAGAGCAAAGCCTCACAATGACCCAACCAGTATTGGTTATCTGATCCTAGGCATTTAGAAAGTGGAGACTCTCAAACAAAACTGTAGAAAATAGATTTATCTTTCAGCTAGTTTCTACTGCTTAGATTTACTGGTTTTAAAAAAGCTGGTTCTCAGGCTCAAATCAAGCTGCAATCAAGTAAACCGGTTTTAGTTTAAACATCAACTTTATGCTCAGAGAATTACTTCATCCCAACTTGCCAACCTAATATTAAATCTTTTCCACAAACTGTTCTAATCAGACTTTAGGAAGAGGGACTGAGTGGTTTTTAAGGAGTTGGACAGTGAGAAGGTATGGGAGGTTTTGGCAAGCTTACAAGCTGACAAATCACCAGGCTCGATTGATTTTTATCCCAGGCTGCTACAGAAGACAAGAGGACGTTAAAGGGGATCTGAAATTTTTATTTTCTCTCTGGCCACAGGGGAGTTGCCAGGAGGATGGCTAATGTGGTTCCACTGTTCAAATAGTATGATAGAGATAAACCAGGAAATTACAGACCCATGAGCCTCACAATTAGTGGTAGGGAAACCATTATAGAAAATTTCAGAAGAGAATTAATCTCCACTTGGAGACAAGGTTTGATCAGGGATGGTCAGCATAACTTTGCCAGAGGTGATGTATAATAAATGATTGAATTTTGCAAAGTGATAACCAGGTGTGTAGACAAAGGTAGTGCAGTGGACGCAGTTTATATGGATTTCAAAGCCTTTGACAAGGACACTGATAAAAAGATAAAAGCATATCATCAGACCCAAGGTAACTTGGCAAGATGGATTTGCAGCAGGAGCCAGAGAGCGGGGTAGAAGGCTTTTTGTATGAATGGAGTTGTGTCCGGTGGCACACCACAGGGATCAGTGCTGGGTCTCAAATGTTGGTGATATTCAAAAGAGAGAATCTTGGGGGTGGGGAAATAAGTTTGTTTGCTGATGACAAGACGACTGGCTGGGGGGGTTGACGGTGAGGGAGGAGTTAGGTTATAGGAGGATAGAAATTGATCAGTCAGCCAGGCAGAGCAGTGCCAGATGGAATTTGCAAGTAGCAAGAGAGACGAGAGCATTAAATGAATGGCAGGACACTAAGAAGCTCAAAGGGATCCTGGGATGCTTGTCCACAGACTGCTGCAGGCTAGGCAGTATTTATTGCCCATTCTTAATTGCAATTAACATTCCAAGTCCAGTGACCCATCAGACAGGGGAACACTGGTCTCAAAACATAGAATGAGTGCAAAACAAAATCAGGCCTGGTGTGTTTCGCCAGAACTATTTGGGTTTAAAATGTACAAGTTGGGATCTGAATCAGTGGTGGAAACAGATTGAATTGAAAATTCAAAGGGGGAATTGCTTGCAAGTGGAACATTTTGTCTGGTTATGGCAAAGGAGCCAGGAAACAGTTAATTGGACAGCTGTTTCAAAGAGAAGGTGGATCCAAACCTGGACAAACCGTGCTCCACAGGTCTCGCACTTGTACGGTTTCTCCCCAGAATGGATGCGTGTGTGAGTCTTCAGGTTTGCTGGACGATTAAACTGAGCTCCACAGATATTGCAGCGATACGGCTTCTCCCCTGTGTGAAGCAGTGTAGGGCATTAGAAGGGGTAATGGTGACCCCAAAAACAAAAACCATTACACATCTACCAACCCCTTCTTCCCACTTCTCCACCCAGATTACCCAACCAACCTCACCATCTGCCTACCTGTGTGCACAGTTTTGTGACTTGCCAGATTCCCTTTGTAACGAAAGGCAGCTTGACACCGGTCACATTTGTAGGGCTTGTCGCTGTGTGATTGGACCATGTGCCTCTTGAGTGCGGCATCGTCAGAGAATTTACAGTCGCACTCACTGCAGAAGAATGATCCATTCTCTGAACAAAACAAACACCTCAGGATTAGTCCAGAGCTGGGTGAAGCCAAAAAATGTAGATACACAGATACTGGACAACACCGCTCATCCCTCAAAGCCCAACAGGAGGCAGTGGACAGCATGAGGCTGGGAGATAGAGAGGGATTGAAGGCAGAAGTGTGCCTCACCTAGTTTATTTTCAAGCACAGATTCAAAAATATAAAATTTAACCTGAACTGAGGTCAGGAGTGTAGACAGTGCACTACAGCAAACAAAAGGTCTTTTCCTAGTGTAGGGGAGTTCAAAACTAGAGGGAGTTTTAAAAAATAAAAAGGAGGCAAAAGATTAAAAAAGGGACCCGAGGGGCAACACTTTTCCCCCATAGAGGGTGGTTTGTATGTGGAATGAACTTCCAGAGGAAGTGAGAAATGCAGGTACAATTACAACATGTAACACATTTGGATGGGTACATGAATAGGAAAGGTTGAGAGGGAAATGGGCCAATGCAGGCAAATGGGACTAGTTCAGTTTGGGAAACTTGGTCAATATGGATGAATTGGACCAAAGGTCTATTTCTGTGCTGCATAACTGATTCTATAACAGAGCGTGAAGATGCTGATCTTGAACACAGATCAAAAGAACCATCAGGAGGGAAAGCCCCTACCCAACTTTCCCCTAAACCCCTCCCCCACTGAGTCAAGTTCAAAGACCCCAGCACTCTGGGAACTCTGCTAAGTTCAGGTGGTGAGGGCTGAACTACTCCATGTCCCTCAGGACAATAGAACATATGCAACATCCAGATGTAATAAAAAGGAAGATTTGGACTGGTGCTTGAAGAACTGCAGAACAGGTTTGTGTAAATGAAAATTAATTGAGAGAGTTGCTGTTTGTAGATAAAAATCAGTTACAAGAAGAAAATAAATAGTTCAAACTGACCAAATTCTGAAATAATAATTTAACAGAATTCTAGATCAATCAAGTACCACTTCCTCTTAACATGGCTTTGACTTTCTCCCCACACGTGAAACTCCCACACTGTCAATCACATCCAGCAACACAATGAGCAGACTAATGGAATTTGAGTAAGTTACCAGCGAGGGATAAACGGTCAAACACCTTCTCACCTGAGTTTTGGAATGAGATGGTTACTTGCAACTTGCCTTTTTAAAACCCAGCTTCTAATCTTAACCCAGCCTTCACCACATTGAGAAATTGCTGCACCTTTAGGGTTAAAATGCCTTTTTATTTCTTGGTGTCCAATGGAAACCAAGTCAAATTAAGATTAGAATGACGGGTGTTTAGACAGGGATCTCCCTACATTTAAAAATACAGCTGCCCAGCTTTACCTTTCTTGCAGGCAATCCAAATTCATATCCTGACCTTCTAGGATTTGAACTCACATCAAGTTCAGTCCAGCTCAATCAGCTCTAAATCATTCGCTTCTCCAATCTGCACACGTTCAAAATTAACAGACAAAAAGCTTCCAGCAAAATAAATGTTTCAAAGGCTATGTGCCCAGTCTCACCTGAGCTGGAGTCCGAGAGCTCAGACTGTGTCTCAGTCAGTTCTTCTCCCAGGTGAGATACAGGTGTGTGGCGGCACAGCTCAGGGTGTTGGTGATTTGGTGACTCACATGAGCTACATTTACGTGGAAAGGTGTCCAAAGGAGATGGTTGCTGGTTATCCAGTGAAGACTCATCTGATGACCTGAGTCAGAAAAGATCAACATGAGACCCTTCACAAATCAGGTCATTACACAAATATTTCCACTATGGCTTAATTTGTTTTTAGCAAGTCTCATTCTCCAAGTTGCACGGGGGAGGCATGAGGGGGAAGCAAGATGACAAACTGGAGAAGGTGACCTGTCTTTATTGCTACTTTATGCACAGATTTACAATCAGATTGGCTGTTTTTATATGTGGGAGGGGTGGGGCTGGAGCGGGAGAGAAGTAGTAGACAGGCGTGTGGACAGCTCTTCCCAAGAGCCTGCAATGACAATGTATCAAACAGCCTCTTTTTGTACTGTAGGATTGAAGTTAGATGTACCTGTTGACGATGCTGTTGAGTTTGCTAGCCTGAGTGACGTGCAGCTCATCCCCAGCAACATCCATCTTGGCTGGAGTTTGGCTCCCCAGGGTCTCAACATCAGAAGACTGACGGTAAGGAGCAGGCGAGGCAGAGAAAGTTGGAGGAGAGCTGTTCTCGGGTTCCAGCTGGTTGCCATTTTCAGTTTTCGAGCTCTGGTTCAATGAGTTCAGGATAATGAATTTGTACTTTTTCCAGTTACAGGCTTTGGGGTCGATAGGGCTCTTGGCGGTGGGAGATTCAGAGCACTGACTCCTGAATGCATTCCTGCTGCTGCTCGATTCCGTTGGGGAGTTGGGGTGGCAGTCAGATTTCAGAGGGCTCCGAGGCCCAATCAGGGGGCCTTTATGATTTACTGGCAGATTACTGGATTCCAAGAGTCCTCTCCTATCTTCTTTTGGGACATTGCTTTCTTCAACCCTCCTGTTAACATTCAGTGAGGAAGAGTAATTCGCCACATTATTGGTGATGGATTGCAAGGTCATTTTGGAGTTAGGAATTTGATTATAGTGCAAATCCATTTTAGCATCACTTTCCCTACAGATCTCTCTGGGAGAGAAAACAGTTGCGTGGCAAACATTGGATGTAATGTCAGTGACAGACCTGCTGCTGTATTTGGTGAAACCCGTGTCACTGTTGTGCTGTACACAGTTACCCTGGTATCTCCTGAGCTTGGGGACTTCAGACAAAGGGACATGGCAATCCTGGAACTTATTAATGAAATAAGGATTTGCAGAGTAACTGTGAACAGGGATATGGCTGTACAAAGAATAAGGATGTGGAGAGGGAGTCATTACATTGTAGGCACTGGAGGCCAAAGCCCTCCCATCAGGGACTGATGCATCTCGAAGCAGGTTTTCAGTCACTTCAGATTTTCGAAAGCTTAATGTTTCTGGAGGTAATGCTGCATTGCTGGTAAGAAACTCCTGCCGAGGTGGACTGATTGTAGAACAAATATCTTCACTGTTGGGAAACAAATCAAGGTTTTAACAATTTGACAAAATGGCAATTGTTACAGGCAAAACTGATCTGTCCAACAGTCTTCAGTGCTATCTTTGTTCCTCCATGCAGTCATTCTGCCATCTCCCAGTTCTTGCCAAACCACCTCCAACATCCAACCAAGTCTTTCACTCCCTTCCCCCAGCCTTTCTATCTTCATCCCCTTAAGAGGATCTTCATCCTCTTCATCTTAGTGATTAAAATCCCAGACCTGATTTTGTATCAGCTCAGTTTACCTTCTCTATGGCTCCATCTGTGCCCAAAATTCAATTAATCTCCATCTCAAATATACTTAATTTTAGGATTTACAGCCTGCAGCGCTCTCAGGATTCATAGCCCTCTATCTGAGGCAATCTCTTGGCTGAGTCCTAAACAGCTACCCTTTACCTTAAGATTACAAACCCTAGTTTTAGGTTCTGTAGCCAGGGGAAACAACTGCTCAGCATCAATCCATTTCAGTGAATGCAACCATCTTTCATTTTGCTAAACTCCACAGTACAGACCCAACCTACATGGTCTCTCATTATGATCCAGGAATAATCTTGTGAATCTTCATTGCAGCCACATCAAGGTTATGTATTTAAGGTATGACCCAATAGAGTTTTAAGTTATGGACTAAACCAAGTAAGAGAGGTATAGTAATGGGTCATTATTCATTACTGACTAAACATAAAAGGGGGTGTTCACTGGAGATTGGCATTGGCAGATCAACATTGCAAACACTGAACAGTTTCAGTCTCTTCATTTAAAGGTGGGCATAAACATCAAGACAAGATTTACTAGATTAATACCTGGAATGAGCAGATTGTCTTAGGAGGATAGGATGGAAAGGCTGGGCTTGCTTCCACTAAGTTAGAAAAGTGATGAATGACCTGATTAAAATGTACAAGATCCTGAATGATCTTGACAAGGTGGACATGGAAGAGAGGTTTCCTCTTGTGGATCAGTCCAGATCTAGGGGCAGTGTGTTAAAATGGAGGTTGCCCTTTAGGACAGGCAGAAGTGGAACTGTTTCTTTCAGGGAGCTGAGAGACTTTGGAGCCCTCCACATCAGAAGGCAATGGAGGTAAGATTGTCTACTTCTATCTTTAAATATTCAGAGGAAATCAAAGTTGAGGTGGATGGGAATGTGGAATTCCACACAAACACTATTTTAATGAACAGAAAAGCAGGTTTACAGGGCCAAATGGACTACCTCTGCTTCAGTCCTCACTAATCAGATTTAAAATCATTTGCAAACTTGGGGGGGAATGCCAAGATATTGGGATCATGAACACTTGACCCAAAGTTAACGGGATCAGATTCCATAAATAATTTCAAGTGGGAGTCAGGACAAAGATCTGCAGTTGAGGAACTTTAGGATCACAAACAAAAGAGGTGCATGGGGCAAAGCACAAATTCTTTCAAAGGGTTAACAGGCAAAGGATGAGCTGGATGGCCTATGGTATAAACAGATTCTGTCAATGTTCACGTGTTTTCAGCAGATCGCTACATAATTGTAGCAAGATTGCCCTATTGCTAAACTCCAAACTCCTTGTCAAGAGCTCACTATTTGCTGATTGTCATGCCCACACAATAGTGTCCCATAATGGACAATATACAAACAAGTAGACAGTTAACTCACCTCGACTGTAGATATCTACGGCACGTGTCGGCCACATGATCCATTTGCAGGTAAATGGCTGTATTCATCACTACCATGATACTGCTGTCTCTCAGAGGCAGACGGGATGTATACATAAAATCTAGTAGAATTCCAAATCCCTCTGCGTCGACATCTGGGTCCAAACTTATCAAATTCAAGTTGAACTTCAGCTGATCAGTGAAAATGGCATAGAAAAGACCACTGTAAAGCAAATAAACAGCATTTTGTCAGTACAGGATTGAGGGAGGCTCCTTGGTGTCATCCCAGGTCCCACAAAGTCCTTGCTTGATATAACAAAGGGGCATACAGTAACTTGTTCAAATGGACATTGCTTAATCTAACATTGGCGATGTGATTGGGCAGCAAGGAATTTGACTTCACCATAGCCACCCTAAATTGTAATTCTAGTCAGCCAATCACAAGAACTACATTTGAGACAAGAAGGTAACTTCAAGCCTTTTGAAAACTCCTGCACAACAGATCACCAGGAAATCAGCTGGTCATGCTTCTAGCAAAGTGAGAATTGTCATGCACAGGGATGGAGTTGGAGGATTTTAATTTTAAAACAAAAAAAAGTGGGGGAAGGTGAGGGTTGGGGGTGGCAGGCAAGAAATTGGTGTCCGAGTTCAACGTAAATCAGTCAGCTCTTATCCTTTCAGACAAAGGACCTGGATTTGATCCTCAGACTGGGAGAGCACAATACAAAGCGAGACAAAGTGCCAAGCTTGCTGCTGTAACTGGAAACCAAAGTCACCCATGAAGAGAATCCAAGCTAGGTGGCTCTGTGGAAACATTCCAGCATGGTTTCGAAGTCATGTCTAGCTTCTTTAGCATCTTTTACAATCTTGGGACATCTCAAAATGTTGTACAGCCACAGCCAAAAACCTGTTAGAATTGTAGACCACCACAGCAAATTGGCACACCAAGATTCTACAAACAAGAGGCTTCAGTTGGGGATAAAAATTGGTCAGGTCAGTGAGAATGGAGTCAAATGCTTTAAGTAGCACCCTTGAATCTTTAGATTCTCAAGGATGTAAACAGAGCTTTGGATGTGATTTTATAACCAAAAGATAAAAGCCACGTGCAGGGCTGCTACACCACCAGCACCCCTCCAGAATGGTGTATTCCCCACAGGTCTGTGCCCCTTTCCCCAGCCCATCCTCACAACACCATCTGCCCCAACCCTATCAGCCCACTGGACAGCACCACCCTTCTTTCCCCACCCACACCAGACTTCTCTCTATGCAGCCCCACCATTTCCCCATTCCAAAGCCATGCTGCAACCCACCACTCCGATAGGTCAGCATGTTCCCCCTACTCCAACATCAAGTAGGTGAGCATCCTCCCCATCTATCTCCATTATCCCTTGCTGACATTGTGCCCCCTTCCACTATCTCCTTGTACTTTTAAAGGGATATGATTAAAATTAATCTTCACTGGCCCCACCTGCATGCCATGAGTACTGTCTTGTGGGCTCGGAAACGCTGGTGATCCACCAAGATAGTGACATCGGTCAGAATGTCTCGGGATCGCAGTCTGTTCAGGTTAAACAGCACATCACCGGCATGTCTGGTGAACTGGATGCAGCTATCTGCTGCTGAGGCCATTGTGTCTGAAACACAAATAAAGACATTTACACTCACGACATCAAGATAATCCAGAGAAACTGAATGGTACTGTGAAATCATAATTAAATCCCAAATTGCCCATTTTTGCTGTTAATTGAAGCTCAGATCGACAGACTTAAATGAGCGATTCTATTCTTTCAACTTCATCCAAAAGAAACATATTTCATGCAATTATCTAACTTGCATCTATGTAGTCAGTTCTATTCAGACTACACCTCATGCAGATCAAGATCAATACAGAATACACAGATATAATAAACAGCCGGTTTGAAATTATCTTCAGACTTTAATCAATCCAAGAATATTAGATGCCAGCAAACTGTACAAGGGCTAATGTTTTTCAGAGATTCAAACTTAAGAAACAAACTGACACCCAGTGAAGTATTCACTTACCCTATTCAGTGCCCTATAACAGTTCAGTTCAGTGACAAGTCTGAAAACAGAAAAGGAAAATGCAAAGATGAGTCACAAGTGGTTTCGGTCACATCATTAAAAACCAGTAAGATGCCTGCATTCTGTATGACATCCTTCAAGAACCAACAACCTTTACAAAGTTAGAGATTTTAAATTTAAAGGCCAAGAAATGCCAAACCAAAAGTTGATTCCACGGCAGTCAGGTCAGAGTTTCTACAATGGAAAGGGATCTATACTACTGACAAACCAATTCCCAACTCCTCAGCTTTGATCCTAACTAAACAAGACCATTTTCACCATTAGACAGGTTACAGTACATTGATTAAAATGGTCTTGCTCAGAGACAGTTACAAGGAAGCAACAGGCACCGTCAGGTCCAACACAACAATACCGGTTTCAGCCAGCAAGACTGTTACCTGGCCTATACAATATTGTCTTGTATCCAGCTGCACTACAGTGATGGAGACTCTAAAAATAGGATTAATTACAGGATTTCCCTCAGTCAGGCCATCATTGATTGGTTCCAGCCCAACCATAACAGGGGATTTGATATTAAAGTGCCACCAGTAACACTGCAAAGTTGCCCAAAGTCCCAACTCTGGGGAATAAAACTTTGTTTCACAGGCAAAAGAGAACAGAACAAACCGAGCTCAGGACCACGTGCGCAATTCTCCTATGGTTTCAAGGCTGACACTCTTATGGTCTGAATTAAGGACCAGGCCCAATGACAGTCAACACTTCCCAACACCCTATTTCCGTACTGGGTTTATTACAGGTATTACAAGACAAAACCATTCAAATGGATTAGTGAACCTGCAACACAGGTAGAGAGCCCCTCTGATTTCATCTTTCCACTGTGTGTTTCTGTGGTTTTCTCTCTGTCTCACACAAAAATGAGAGATTTCAGCATAATCATTATCAGATTGTTCAGGCTTTGTGAATCTAAGAAAATTTCCCAATGGGTTTGAACTAAATGCTGAAAATTTGTTTGATTTACAAATATCACTCCATCCACAGCTTCTGACAACACACTGCAGGAAACACTCCAAATATACATGAGGAGTGAGAGGACCAGCTGTTTTTAAGATGTGCTTCACGGGAGTTAGGTATCACTGACTGGGTCAGCATTTATTGCCCAACCTTAAATGGTCTGTAGAAGGTAGTGGTGAGCTGCCTTCTTAAACTACCGCAGCTGAACTCTGTGGGAAGCTGCATCCAACTGAGGAAGAAGTGACTAGCTGGGTGCAGAGCTGAGTTTAGAGATTAGGGGAATTTGGAGTCGGCGTAGAGTGGGCTTTCAACTGCTGTAGAGATTGTTATCCACCAGAAACCTATTAATCTTGTCCTTAGATACAAATTGATCACCAAACACCCAAAGTAGGAACAGCAAGTGATTGGATTTCTAGTCCTGTGAAGAGATGGCTTCACAACATCACTCCTGATGAAGCAGAGGTTTTATTTAGGATTGTACAACCTGGGAGTGGGCCAGGAGACCAAGGTTTTCACTCCTGTCTGGGAATGCCACATTTGCATGCACGTATACACACAACATGCCCACCATCATCTGGTCTGTCTTCTCCCACCAACTTCTAACCCTTTCGGGCAAGATTCAAAACACTCCAATTCATCAACTGGATCAAGCAATCATTTTTCAATGAGAAACTGCAACGTTTTCCACAGAAAATCTCCCAGATATTCTCAACATCCCGCAGGACATATCAGGAAGGTTAAAAAGTCATAGCATTAAAGATGGCTCACAACGTTATTGAGAAGTTCATCAAACACAAGGTCATGTTGAAGGGTCACCACTGGTTCGCCTCACCCTGCCCTGGGTCAGGCCAACACATTAGGTAACACTCCAAATTTAACAGCAAGTCCAGGCCAACTCCCAGAACTGGGTTGCAGGGACAGTGCCTTTAGGTGCCCAAAGTCCACTTCACCTCAACATCCAGCCTATTCTTCTGCCCTCCTGAAATGCATTACCTCACACTGCTGTGGAGTGAATTCCATCTGCCATATTTGTGCCCACCTGGGGGAGCCCTGCTCTGGCACAGATGTCATTTTTTCCAGACAGGATGTTGAATTGTTATACTCAAACAGATGCAAAAGAGATCCTCCCGATATTTGAAAGAAACAGCAAGTTCTTGCCACTTCCTAAGCTCAATATTTATCCCTCCATAGCATCACAAACAAAAATCGGATTGTCATTACAGTTGATGTTTTGTGGACATTGGGCAGAAACAGAAGTGTGCTTTGGGACAAACCCAAATAGGGGACAAAATCTCAGCTGAGGAACAGCAGGAGACACGTGGCTTCTTCCACTGCTAACAACCTTAAGCCCCACCACAAGCGCCTGGGCAAGTCAACCTCAATCTCTTCCACCCCTCAACTCCACAAAACCACATTTTGGGTGGTTTTCTCCCCTTATTCTCCATCACTCCCCTACACAGAGCCCTCCTCTGTCTACCCCACAACCTCCCTTCTCCACTCCGCACTCAGTCCCCCACCACACTCCAGCTGGGCTCCAGTGGCAGTACCGGCGGAGACCGGCAGGTGGCGGTCTGGGGCTACTTATCGGGAACTCGGTCCCGTTTCCAAACCTGCCCACCCCCTCACCCCTGCCTCGCCCGAACCGCCCAAGGCCTCGCCCCGGTACACCGTCCAGACTCCACCCCGCCACCCCCAACCACCAGGGATTTCGCGGACAGCGGGAGGTGATGAGTGGACTCGGTTATTGCCTGATTTTGAGGGGTGGGGGGTCGGTGTTAAGGGGAGAGAGCGTTTCTCATTGGCACGGTTCCGGGATCAGGAGGTTCACATGGAGGGGGTCCACAGGGATCCGGGTCCGATGGGGAAGGTCACAGGAGGAGGAGTGCATGCCTGCCCAGGGTAACAAGGCAGCCTCCACGTAGGAGTATTCTCATGGGACTATCGCCGGCACGTTGACGGCGGAACATTTCACACCGGGGCAAAGGGGGAACCCCCGACATCACGGAGGTACCCGAGCAGAGTCTCGGAATGGGAAAGTGTGCTGGGGACGGGCTGAACGGCCTCCTGTTACACGGAGGCGGAGGAAGTGGAGATACTTTGATTCCTTTGGAGCTAGCACAGGCAGGATGGCCCGAAAGCCATCCCCACTCTTCACCCAGCACAAGCTCCCCCCTCCCCCAAAAGCACACGATTGGACCAGAGTCCTGTAGTTTCACCAATTTTGGGATTATTCCGGGAGAGGATCCCATTCCGCAGCCAAGCCCCCGTCGCTAGGTTTAACCCCCCGGGAACGGGCGGCGCACTGAGAGGGGAGGTGGGGGTAGAAAGAGCGCGCGGTTCCCGCCGGCAATCCCCGACCGGACCGCGGTCACCAGAAGGCAATCCTCCGCCGCCCGTTCCGTCCCCCCGAATCTGACCCCATGTACACCCCCACCCCAAGCCGGGCTCTCTCTCTCTCTCTCTCACCGTCCCCCTTCCCTTTCCCCCAAACACCCCGGGACTCCCGCTGTCTCTGGCAATGTTTGTTGAACAACATGTTACACAAGCCGCTGGGGCCGTTCACGCGGAACCAAGCGGCGGAACAGCAGCTTATGTCAACACAATGTTCCGAAAATAATCGCGATCATTCTGTCCCCAAAACTTTCCACCGGAGAGAGCGGCGAACACGCCGGGACCCCAGCCGCCGCCCCCCTCCCGTCCACGGGAGGGGGGAAAAAATAATCTCCAAAACCCTAATTACAACCATGACCAGAGACACTGACACAGCCCGGGACTTCTACACACCCCGGTTCCCCCGCATCCTGGAAAGCCGACCCCTAATCCCCAGGATCGCAACAGGCAGGAGGGAGACCCTCCCCCCGGTCTCTCCAGGAATCCACCGCCAGGGATCGAATTCCGCCAAGGAAAGGGAAGCCAATCGGTTCCGCATGATCCCAGGAACCGACGCTTCACTTCTCCCGGGGAAGCCCGAACCTGGCACAGTCGGAGGGACCAGTTCCGAGGGGGTTTGTGGTTTGAATATTCCTGATCTGGACACCCCAGGACCGAGAGCGGACACCCACAGCCCAGGCTCGACCCCATGGCTTGACTCCCGGGGTCAAGTTCAAGAGATCCCCAGACAGAGAGAAGGGGGGAAAGCGGTCACAACAAACAGATTCGAGCCTGTCAGTGACAGCCGAATCCGTTCACGATAAGGAGTTGCACAGCCAGAGGCTGGAAGATAGAAAGGGATACGGACACAAACACTGGGACAGTTACTGTGGGAGACGGAGTGGTTAAAAGGGAGAGACAGAAAAACAGAGACAAAGAGGGGGGAAGCTCGGAAAGGGACAGCGGGAGAAGCTGAAGGAGAGGGACAGACTCTGTACGGGAGCCAGGACAGCCTAGGGGAAGGAAAGGCAAGTACTTCGGAGCCCTGGAGGGGAAGAAACTCAAGTACAGAGAGAGGGGGACACCCCTGTCCGGAAAGACAGGCAATAAGGGACACAGAGACAGGGATAGACACTAAAGCTGGGAGCGGAAGATACTGGAACCTAGAGCCGGGGAAACTGACGGCTACAACCCGGGGAAGTGAGAAATGGAAAGCGGGGCCCGCACTGCTCCAATCCTGTCTCCCATCGTCTCTGTCCCTCTCCCCCGGCTCCGGCCCTGCCTCTCCCAGCCTTCAGCTAGTCACCTGTTCCTGGAAACCCTGGCCGCTCCTTCCAGGAACCGCCGCCGCTTCTTAGAATCGGCGCCCGGCAATTCCGCGAATTTGAGCTGGGGGCCCAACCACTCGAGGAGGGGGAGGGGTGCGCACGGACTAGCCGAACCACAACATACACCATGGCGCCAGGACAAATCGTGAATCCCACTTTCAGTGGTGCGACCACCTTGTAATAATTACTCTCGGAGACCACCGCCGGTTTCGGGGTTTACAGATGGTTCTCGGGGGGTCCAATCTGTCCCAAATTTCCCCCCTCTAACGCAACCAGGTGGTTTGGCTCATCACGTGGCCGGGCCATCAGTGACGTTGAGGCTGGTATGGATACATTGAATCCGAATTCTGAGAATCGGGGGGCGGGGACATAAGGGGCGGAGCATCAGGGGGCGGTAACCTATGGGGTGGGCGTGACAAAGGGGCGCCATTGCGTTTTGCTGGTCCGGGAAGGGATTGATGTCGAGGGGCGGTTTGGGGCGGAGCTAATAGCTGATTGACATCCGCGTACAGGAACGGAGCCGCCGGGCACCTGACATCCCGAGGGGGTGTGGCCGTACCGCTGATTGATACACCGAGGGGGTGTGGACGTACCGCCGATTAACATCCCGAAGGGGTGTGGTCGTACAGCTGATTGACATCCCGAACCCGAGCGATGTGGAGCCGTGGCAAAGGAGCGTGTAGCGTACTGTGGTGCGATGGTGCAAAAGAAATCATTGCTTCTTATGTTGAAAGGCTGTCTCGTCAACTTTGCAATGTTTATTTTAATTGGTAATAAGTGAATACATTAGTTTCCGATGGAGCTAAACATGTTTTGTAAATGTTTAGCTATGATGACAGCAGATTCCCCTCACTGGCACAAAAGTGGCAACAAGATAGGGTAAACTGCGAGACAACAAGGTGCAGGGCTGGATGAACACAGCAGGCCAAGCAGCATCATAGGAGCAGAAAGGCTGACGTTTCGGGCCTAGACCCTTCATCAGAAAAGGGGGAGGGGAAGGGGGTTTTGAAATAAATAGGGAGAGAGTGGGAGGCGGATAGAGGAGAGGAAACAAACAGGTCGAAGAGGCGGGGATGGAGCCAGGAAAGGTGAGTGTAGGTAGTAAACTGCAGTGTCTGACTTCTTGTAAAATGTGGCCCCTTTATCCAACTAATGGAAAGAATGCTGGCCCCTTTGTGGCGCGGTGGTAGTCTCCCTACTCCTGGACTGGGAGGCCCAGGTTCAAGTCTCACTTGCTCCAGAGGTGTGTAATAACATCCTCAAACAGGTTGATTAGAAAGAGATAGTAGGAACTGCAGATGCTGGAGAATCTGAGATAACAAGGTGTAGAACTGGATGAACACAGCAGGCCAAGCAGCATCTTGTTTTCTTAGGTTGATTAGAAAAATAGGTTTTAAAAAATCACTTCTGTAGGGAATGGTTGGAAATGAATGAGAACAAAAGCCATAGGGTCCTGCAGCAGAGAAAGAGGCTCTTCAGCTCATTGTGTCTCTACTAATCATCCAGTGCTTATCTACTCTAGTCCCATTGTCCAGCACCACCAGCACCTGTAGCTGTGTTATGCTATGGCACTTCAAATGGTCATTTAGATACTTCTTTAATATCTTAAGGGTTTCTACCTATTACAATTTCAGGCAGTGAGTTGTGTTTACACCACACCCTCTGGGTGCAAAATATTCTTCCCTAAATCCCTATAAACTTTCTACCCTTCCCTTAAAATTGTGCCTGGTTGTTAATGCCCCCTTTAATACAGGGAAAAAAATGTTCCCTATCCGTCCTGTCTATGTCCCTACTAATTTTATATAACACAATCAAGTATCCCCTCAGCTGCTCTATAGAAAACCCCAACCTGTCAAGTTTTCCTTCAGAGCTGAAGTGCTCCAGCCTGGGCAAGATCCTGGTGAATTTCTCTGCATCCTCACTACAGTTCTAGCATAACCACCCTGCTCATTAGAGTCATAGAGATCTATAACTTGGTAAAAGGCCCAATGGCTTATCACATCCACATTGATTGAAAATAACCACCTAACTATTGTAATTCCATTTCCCATATAACAGAGGCACTGGATAGTGTAAAGGCTATGGGCTCTGACACCATTCCAACAATAATCCTGAGGCAGTTGTTCGTTAGCTCACCAAGTCAGTTGTTCTGTGGTGTGCAGACATTTCATTACCATTGTAGGCAACATCTTCAGTGCGACCTGTAATCGGAGCGTTGGTGTTCTGCTTCCTTCGGATTTATATGAGCCTCTGGTGTGATGGTCTTGACCCTTCCAGTTCTGTTGTTTTAAAAGCAGTCTGTATATGGTGTCTATTTCTGTGTGTTTATTAATGGAGTCCCGTGTTGAGAAGCAGGCTTCCAGAAATTCCCTTGCATGTCTGATGTTTGCTTGTCCCAGTCTGGTTACTTTGTCCCAGTCGAACTGATGGCCCTCATTTGTCTGTGTGTATTGATCATGTTGGTCATGTCTTTTTATATGCGTATTCTGGTCATCAGTTTCCTCCCTGTTTGTCCAATGTAATGTTTATTGCGTTCACTGCATGGTATTCTGTATATCACGTTGATCTTGTTTACTGTCAGTATGGGGTATTTAGCCTCTGATAACGTTTGGTGCAGTATTGCTGTAGGCTTTTGTGCAATCATGACCTTATGCGATCTGAGGAGTCTGGTAGTCAATTCTGATATATTTTTGAGGTAGGGTAATGTTGCTAGTGTCTCCTGTTGTACCATGTCCTCTGACTGTCATTTGTTTTGTAGGCATCTGCAGACGAAACTTCTTGGGTATCCGTTGTCGGTGAAAACTTTGTGTAGGTGTTCCTCTTCCATTCACTGGAGTTCTGCAGTGTTGAGGTGTGACGTGTCTCGTTTAAATTGTGTCTTGATGTAGCTCTGTTTGTGTATGGTGGGGTGGTTGCTATCGAAGTTAAGGATTTGGTCCATATGTGTGGTCCTCCTGTACACTCGGGTTTGGAATTCGCCGTGAGTCAATCTCTCTACATTACGTCTAAGAACGGGAGCTGTTGGTTGTTTTCTTCCTCTCGAGTGAAATTTACGTTTGCAAAGATGTCATTGACAAGTTGGTGGGTTTCTTCGACTTTTGTGCATTTGGTTATTACAAATGTGTCGTCCACGTATCTTGCCCACAGTTTCAGTTGGATTATAGGAAGGACTGTGTGTTCTAATCCCTGCATCACTGCTTCCGTGATGAAACCTGAGCTGGGTGATCCCATCGGTATGTTTGGATATCTGTCCATTGAACATGAAGTGCGTTGTGAGGCATAAATCTAGCAGTTTCAGTCAGCTGTCCTTGCTAATGTTGTTGCTGGTGTTCAGGGTTGTGCTCCTGATCCTTCTAGTAGTGTGGCTAGTGTCTCTCTGGCTAACGGTATGTCAATGGATGTAAGTAGTGCTGTAACATCAAAGGAAATTATGATTTCGGCCTCATCAATTTTTGTGCCCTTGAGCTGTTAGAGAAATTCTTGGGCTGAATGGATTGAGTGTAGGGATCTGCTAATCAGATGTTTGACTGTCCATTGTAATTCTCTCGCTAGTTTGTGTGTAGGTGTAGTATAGTGTACAGCAACACTGTGCCAAATGTTATCAAAGACTAAAGACCCCATAACGACAGTAAACAAGACTAACGTGATATACAGAATCCCATGCAGCGAGTGCAATAAACATTGCATTGGACAAACACGGAGGAAACTGATGACCAAGATACACGAACACCAGCTGGCAAGATAAAAGGCATGACCAATATTAACTTGTTTCAATATACACAGACAATGAGGGCCATCAGTTTGACTGGGGGAAAAAAAGTGACCATACAGGGACAAGTGAACACCAAACATGCAAGGGAATTTCTGGAAGCCTGGTTCTCAACACAGGACTCCATTAACAAACACATAGAAATAGACAGCCCGCTGCTAAAACACCAGAACTGGAAGCGACAAGACCATCATACCAGAGGATCATATAAATCTGGAAGGAAGCAGAACACCAACGCTTTGATCAGAGGTCGCATTGATGATGTTGCATAGAATGGTAATGAAGCGTCTGCACACCACAGAACAACCGACTCGGCGAGCTAACCAACAACTGCATCTACAACCCAAGCTACAAATTTTCGCTAAAACCTCAATGACCCTGAAGATTTATGCTGCAAAACCTGCCATGACCTGAGCCGAACTGTTTCAGTACAGTTACTACCGTGGAATTATTGGGCAAGAACTTTCAAAAGTTGATTGAGGGCAGATATTCACGGATAAAGGGACAGCTGGAAAGTGGGAAGCCTTCAAAAATGAGATAATGAGAGTACGCAGAAATTATGCTCCTGTTAGGGTGAAAGGCAGGTGTAGGGAATGCTGGATGATGGGAGAAATTGAGGTTTTGGTCAAGAACAAGAAGGAAGCAAATGTCAGATATAGACGGCAGGGATCACGTGAATCCGTAGTAGAGTATAAAGCAGTAGAACTATACTTAAGAGGGAAATCAGGAGGGCAAAAAGAGGACATGAGATAGCTTTGGCAAATAGGGTTAAGGAGAATCTATGGAGATTAAGGAGATTCTGCAA